CTTGATGGTGATCTCTTGTTGAGAATATGTCAGAATAGATAGATAGATAGATAGATAGATAGATAGATAGATAGATAGATAGATAGATAGATACACACTTATCAGGACAATCAGATGTTGTGGCTTTCATTTAGCATGAATTTTGATTTCTTATGGTCTAAATACTCTAAGGTTTTGTTATAATTTATAAAGTGCAGTCTGATTTTCTTCTGAAATTCAAAAGACATTAGAAATTCAGAAAACAGTAGACTACTCAATGCTAAATGTGAAAGAAACTGTAAAATTCAGAACAGAAATCCTCAATTCGAGTGCAGATGGTTTTCACAACATATGACCAGCACACACTGAATCCATCCTATCACTCCCTTAAACTGTTTATTAAAAGCGTACCTTTTGATTCAGATGTTGCATAAAAAGTGGGGCACTATGTAGTGTCACTGGGTGGCTGTCTACACACATGTCCCCACTATGTTGCCTGATACCACTATTGCTGATGCAAGTCATTCCCTCTGAGGTCACAACAAGATGCCCAGGCATGTGATTAACACTGGGCACCTCATTTCTGACCTCAAAGGAAGTGACTTATGGCAGCAAGCAGGGTTGCCTGTGTAGACAGATGCCTGGCATCACCACGGAGTGTGGAGATAATGGGGGAAATCTGGGTCAGCTTCTGGGCCAGAATAGTATGGAAGCAGTTTGGAGTATTTTGGCTGGTGTAGACAAGCCCTCAGTTTCTGCTTGTATTCTTCAATACCTTCATTGCACAAGTGGTGTAAATAGGATCCTGTCCACAACTAGTACAAAATAGTCCAGTACAGAATGGACCAGACTAGAACCTTTCTCCCTGGTATATTAGGCCTTAAAAAAATATGACATTTTTGTGGAGGAAAATTCCAAAATATATTTCTGATATTTCTGTTCTGAAACAGAACCAGAAGAGTTTAGGAGATGGATTAAATATTCCCTTATTTGCATGCCTAATCAAGATTGATCTTTATGTTACCCCCGTCTCTCCTTCTAACATATCAGCTCCAATGCCTGTGCCAATTTATCTGTCTTCCATGCCACAGAGACATAATATGCATAGTCAGTGTGGTCTGGCCTAAATTCTAATTAACTAATGAGCAGAACCCAAATTCTTGATCTAGTTCCTGCAATATCTGCTTCCCTGAAGCAGAAACCTCATTCTTTCAATCATATCATCTTGATTCTGAACAGGTTTAATTAGAACTCAGGAGAAACTTATTTGCAAAAAGATACACCTGAACAATGGCTTTAGTATTTTTAAGTTTATTGATACAGAGGCCATATCATTCTATCTAGAATCATAGAATCATAGAATCATAGAGTTGGAAGAGGCCACAAGGGCCATCCAGTCCAACCCCCTGCCATCTAGATTCTGTCATTTTACTGTCCTAAAGTAAATAGCATATGTTTATATTTTAAGTTCTATCAGCTTCTCAGGTTTCAAAAATGCAAATGGATGATGCATAACAGACAAACCCAGGCCACATGTAGACTTTGCATCTGTCTTTTGTGTTCCCCACAGCACCCTGTCATCTCAAAAACAGTTCCCACACCACCATTTCTGTTCCCTTTGAGTTGCTTCCTTTGATAACAAAAGTAGGAAGAAAGGTCCTCTGTCCTATGACCTACCACAGTTCAATTGTATGGAAAGATAAATGTGTTGTCCTTCTGTACCAGAGAGAGCTGTCACAGTTGCCACAATATTTCATCAGTCAATGATGGCAGCAAATTAAACAAAAAATATTGAGTTGGAGCAGCAAAGCCAAATTTGACAGTGATGCATTTCACAGTGGGTTTGAAGAATTCGAGCGCAAGTGCCCCAACTGCAAATTTGCCCATGCCTGATGTAGAGCATTTATGTTAATATATCAAAGGGGAAATGCCAACTTTAGGATAGATTCCGCCCCCAGAGCAACATGGCTCACTAAGAGGAACACAGCAATCTTTACACCTGGATTTAGTAAGGAACTGATTTATCACGGCCACATGATTTGGTAGACACAATAAAGATGCACAACTAAAGATACACTTAATTTTAATGAGTACTTGCTCTTAAGGATGGAGATTGTAAATTACATTATTTAACATTTAAGAATTCAAAACCCTTGATTAATGTTGTACTATAAAGGCTCATATACCAAATTTCAGAACAGATAGGTAGATAGATTCAAGAGTGGAGAAAATGTCTTTTTTTATATATTTCACAAGCTATCTCTAGTTTATATGCAGGCTGTGGAATATATTGTATTTGGAAAACACCCACACCACTGTCCATGGTATATGGCAAGTCAGCACAGTCAGATACTGACTTGCCTGTCATTATATCTTGCTCAATTTTGTCCCAGTATCATTGTCACCCAAGCCTTCTAGACAGAACATTAGCACAAGGATGAGGAACCTCCTTTTTCTCTCTCAAGGACCACATTCTCAGTCTCACATTCCAGCAGTGGGCAGGGCCAAAACTGAAGGTAGAAAAAAGAATCTTCTTTGTCTGTCCTTTTTTCCACCTTTCCTCTGTTTCTCCCTTCCTCCCCCATTTCTCCTTCCCTCTTTTTCCCTACTCAGCGAACTGAAATCAGAAGTCCAGTGGAGGCTAACGGCCACAATGTCAATCTTCTTCAGATTTTTGTCCAAACTGTACCTCAAGTGAATTCAGTGCCCAGATGACATTGTACTGTGCTTTTTAAAAAATATGCATTATATTTATATGCTCTTTTAGTGGTTTTATATGCTCTTTTAACAGTTTTATATGCTCTTGGTTTTATATATATGTTTTTAATAAGTACCAGGTTTATATGATCTTTTAATGGTTTTATATGCTCTTTTAACAGTTTTATAGTTGCTTGGCCTCTAATGGCCAAGAATATTAGTAGTTCTCATATGCTGAAGACAGGAAGGAAGGAAGGAAGCAGGATCATTTATTCCACAATCGGATCCTTTCCTGACCCTTACTCATTTAGCTCAATGTACACCTAGATCCTAAATGTGTTCCTTCATTTCCAGGAAAAAGCTGCAATCCAGCATATTTGGGCTCCTGATCATTGCCCCAGGAGGAGCATGGAGAAGGGGGAAAGGAGCAGCAGGGTACTCTTAGCCAGGGACATCACTAGGTGGTGTGCAGGTGTGACCCACACCGGGGACACCTCAGAGGAGTGAACACCCATTGGGGCAGTGACTCTCACTCATCCCAAGGCCCCCCTGGCTCCACCAGCCAGGGCACTTTTGCTGTCCATCAGCTGCTACCTCTGGTTCTGGTAGAGCTGCTGGCTGAGTGAGATAAAGATTGCTGGGTGACCGCAAGTAGCCCAACCCCATCATTGACCACTGGTGGAAAGGGGCTGCTTTCTGGGTCTGGCAGGTCTGTGAGTCATCAGGAAAAAAGTCTCCTCCCTTTAGCTCTGCTAAATCTGGAAAGGCTGCAGGGTGGCAGCAGCACTCCAGCCTCACCACTGTAGAAGTGGTCTGGCTGGCAGAGGGGTGTGTGTGGATGGACACTGTGCCAGGCAGCCTGGGGGTGACAGCATGAGTTACGACACGGGGGTGTTACCAACCCTTATGATGCCACTGATCTTTGCCAGTATCCATATGATTATCAAAATATGAATTTTAAAAATTGTCTTGTGTGTCTTTAATATGTATCAGGCTTGTATGTTCTTTTAACAGTTTTATGTGTTCTTTTAATTGTGTTATATGTACAATTTGATCTTGTTTCTGTCTTGATCCAAAGGGAGAAATGTAAGAAATGGTAACTAATAGTAAAGAACAAGGGAGAGGATAAGATATAACAACTATTATTATCAACAAACTATGAGATGCCATGCAGCTCTTAGCCCAAAAGGTTAGACAAGTAGTTAGTCATTGTTAGCCATTAAGTTCTAAACAGAGGCACTGACCAACCTGCCAGCAGCCACATCCATCTTTTAATTTGAGCTGTGAGGAGATGAAAACCAAGGAAGCTCAAATGGTTTCATATGGCCCTGGGTTTCAAGGGTATGGGGGGGGGGGAGGCATTCCTAAGTAGGAATGGAAAGTTTTTTTATGAAAATTGTCTTTTTGCATCTTTCAGGATTTTTTTTTCAGGAAAGAATTTATTTCATCTTGATTTTTTTTTTTTGCACTTTTCCAAAGCTTATGGGGTATCCCAAAGAAATTAAATATGCACAAAACAATGCATACCAGGAGCATTGGTGACACGGTGGTTAAATGCCTGTACTGCAGCAACTCACACATTAACCACAACATTGTGAGTTCATTACCAGCCAGGAGCTCCAGGTCGACTCAGCCTGGCATCTTTCTGAGGCTGCTAAAATAAGTACCCAGATTGTTGGGGTCAATTAGCTTACACATTCTAAACCGCTTAGTACACCAGTAAGCGGTATAGAAATGGACTTGCTATTGCTACTGCTATTTAAAATGTGAATGACTAGAAATCTGTAGAATTGAAAAGATACATAAAACACATGATGAGCAATGGGGGAAATCCTGGGGAATGCATAAATACATAAATAAGAGTATACATTGGGGGGAATGCATTATAATGTACATGAATTTCCATGCATATCTCCCCCAAACTCTTGCCACTCAACATGAAACATGCATGGAAAGAAAATGCAGACTGGATTTTGATGAACACAATATGGAAGGTAGCTACACTATACACTTATAGTGGTTTGGTACCGCTTCCATGGTCGCAACCTATAAAAGCCTGGGTGTTGTGATTTGATGAGATATGTAAATTCAGTGTTACTGAGCTCTATGTCTCTAGTTTAAGGGACAGCACTAGATCTCTCTAGTAAAGAATTCCAAGTACCTTCTTGTTGTTGTGCGCCTTCAAATAATTTATGACTTATGGTGTCCCTAAGGCAACCCTATCACAGAGGTTTTTTGGCAAGATTTTTCAGATGGAGTTTGCCTTTGCTTTCCTCTGAAAATGAAAGAGTGTGGCTTGCCCAAAGTCATCCAGTGAGTTTCCATGGCCAAGTAGGGATTCAAACCCACATCTCCAGAGTCATAGTCTAATGCTCAAACCACTACACCATACTGTCTCTCTAATACCTCACCACACTACAAATCTCCAGAGTCTTTAGCATGCAGCCATGGAAGTTAAGTGTCATCAAACAGCATAGTGCAAATCCACATAAAATCAGGACTGAGACATAACATTTTCCTATTCCCCTTCTTGACAGGGAAAGTGAAATGTTGGGATATAATAGATGAATGAAAAACTAGAGCCACTTCTTTAAATCTTCCATTTATCAGGGCCTCAATGGATGGCCTTAGGCAAATGATTCTCTCTTTCAGCATCAGTCCTGCCCCCCCCCCTTCAATATGGGGGATAAAAGTACTGGTCTGCTTGCCAGGTTATTAAAGGTGATGAAGCAAAGTTGGACAATTTGCAGGGGTGCTGAACTTCAGCTCCCATCAGCTCTAGCCAACATAGCAATAGCAATAGATATTGCTAGTCAGTGGGGAGAATGATAGTGAATGTAGTCCACCAACACCTGAAGGACTACAAATTTAATCCAGTCTTGGATTAAATGTGCATCATACATTTATCATACAAAGTGCTGTGAAGTGTTTAAGTAATAGTAAGCAAAGGGGTCAGGCAAGTCTGCATTCCATTACCCTACCTGTTCAACTTATATGCAGAAAATATCGTGTGATTAGAAGAAGGAGGAGTGAAGATAAGAGGAAAGACTCTAATAATCTAAAATATGCAGATAACACCATACTATAGCAGAAAACTCCATAGACTTGACTAATGGTGATTATCGCACAACTAAAGTGCTATTCCACTTTAACTGGTCTGGCTGCCTCCTGTTACATTCTGGGATTTGCAGTTTAGAGAGGGGCATTTAGAATATTCAGCCAGAGAGGTCTTAGGCCTCACTGAACTATAAACCCCAGAATGCAACAGGAGGCAGCCAGACCAGTTAAAGAGGAATAGCGATGCTTTAAAAGTGTAGTGTGATAATCTCCACAGACAATTACCAAGGAAAGCCATGAAAATGCAAAAGCAGGCTTACTGCTGAACATCAAGAAAACAAGAACAATGACCACAGAGGATCTACATAAATGCAACCAAGACCACAGAGGATCTACATAAATGCAACCAAGTAAATGAGGAAGTCCAAATAGTTAGACTTTCCCTACCTAGGATCAAACAGTGATTGGAATAGAGACTGTGGTCAAGAAATCAGAAGAAGTCTAGGAATGGGGTGGACAGCCATGAAGGAACTAGACAAGATCCTAAAGTATAAAGATATACAACTGACCACTAAAGTTAGAATCGTCCAAGCCATTGTATTTCCCATCACCATGTATGGATGTGAGAGCTATACAGTGAAAAAAGCTGTCAGAAAGAAAATAAACTCATTTGAGATGTGGTGCTGGAGAAAAGTGCTGAGGATACCATGGATGCCAAAGAGACAAACAAATGGGTCCTAGAACAGATGAAATCTGAACTCTCCCTGGAAGCCAAGATGATGAAGCTGAGGCTATCATACATCATGAAGAGGCATAATTCATTAGAAAAGACTATAATGCTATGCAAGGTAAAGGGAAGCAGAAAGAGAAGAAGACCACATGCCAGATGGGTAGACTTTGGTCCTTTGCAGACTGCCAGAAATAGTGCAAATTGAGTCCACTTTATGGGTTAGGGTTAGTGCTAGGGAATCATGGGAAATTGTTTGTTTGTTTTTCTGACACATTGAGCCTTCTCTGTCAGAGAGCTCTGGCGCCACAACAAAATACAGTTCCCATGATCCCCTAAGCCTAGCTCTAACCCTTAAAGTGGGCAATTTGCACTATTTCTAGCAGTCTGCAAAGGCCCTCAATCAGGGAGGTCATGGGCCTGAGTCTGTAGGACCTAAGCAGAGCAGTTGAGGATAAGAAGGATTGGAGATGTCTCATTCACAGGGCCACCATGAGTCCAATTCAAGGGCAATTCAAGGGCAGTTAACAAGAAAAGCTGTAAGAGCTGTTTAACAGTGTAATAGCCTACCTTGGAAGGTGGTGCTCTCCCCATCCTTAGAGGTTTATAAACATAAGTTAGATGGCCACCTCTTGGGATAGTTTAACAATGGCAGGAGGTTGAACTGCATAACCCTTGGTTCTCTACCCACTTCATGATTCTATGATTCTGTATTTAGCAGATATGTTCAAAAGACGCCACTTTCAAATAACGATATGCCATATTTTGTTGTTCTTATGCTAGTCTGTGACCATAATAATTATTTATCTTATCTTTCATACAACATTCAGTAAAGATGTATGCAGGACCAGCAGAATTCTGGACATTAGTTGATCAGCACTGCCTCTGCACATAAGAAACTTAATTTGAAACTTGTTCTAGTTTCTGAAGCTTCTTCTGCCAATTACATATGTGGCAGAGTTGTTGTTTGAAATAAAAAGATCAAAGCACATACAGAGAGTTGCATAATTCTCTAGATGTGCCCAGTAACCATTTGGCAGCATCAATGTTCCTTACGCTGTATTAAAATCCACCATACATCTTGCACCTACTTGGTTTACTTTTCCCTTTCCAGCTGCTATATAAGATAAGATGGCTAGTGATCAAAGCTTCAGAGAGTTCCAACAGAAAGAGCAGTTGCTAAATGTGAGGTTTCTCCATCTGTTTTTGAAGGATCACCTCTTCCCATACATACCTAACTATCAGATCTTCATGCTGTGTGTGCATGTATACATGGATGCATGTGTGCTTGAATGCACATAGAAAGAATCATGAAGTTAGAAGGGGTCACAAAGACAATATAGTTCCACCCCCATAGAGTTGGAAGAGGTCTCATGGGTGATTGAGGCCAAGCCCTTGCTGAATGCTAAAGTATCCCCAGCAGGTAAGTTTACAGACTCTTTTGAAGGCATTCAGAAGAGGAGACCCCCACCACCACTCTAGGAATTGATTCCATTGCTCAACTGGTCTCACTGTCAAGAACTTCCTTCTAATATTCAATCCAAATCTACTCTCCCTTTAACTTCAAACCTACCCTCTGGGGCAGCAGAAAATAGTCTTGCCCCATCTCTCTGTGACAGCCTTTGAGATATTTAAAGATTGCAATCATGCCACCCTCTAATTCTTCTCTTCACTAAGATGAATATGTCCAACTCCTTCCACCTTTCTTCATAGGTTTTGTTTTCCATGACACATCTTCATTGCTCTTCTCTGAACCTGTTTCAATTTGTCTGTATCCTTCTTAAAATGAAGCACTCTGAACTGAATGCAGTATTCCAGATGAGGCCTGCCTAGCACAGCACATAATGGGACTATTACTTCTCTCAACTTGGAAACTATGCTTCTGTTGATGCAGGCTAAAATAGTATTCACCTTTTTGCTGCAGCATCACATAACTATCACATGTTCACCTTACGATTAACAATACTCTGAATGTCCTTTTCACATAAATGGCTGAGCCATCTATCATCCATCTTATATCTGTACATTGATTTTTATTTTTATTTTTATTTTGTGGTCTTAATATAGAATTTTGCATTTGACTCTAGTAAATTTCATTTAATTAATTTCTGCCTAATTTTCTAGTTTATCTAGGTCCTTTTGAATTCTGTTCCTATCTTCAAGTGTGTTACTTAACCCTAAGTTTTGTATCATCCACAAACTTGATAAGAATTCATCCTACCACATCATCTAAGTCATTCATTAAAATGTTGAAGAGTAATGGCCATAAGATAGAACCGTGGGACATTCCACTTGAAAGCTCCTTCCAGTTTGAAGCACAGCCATTGATGATGGCTCTTTGATCACAGTTTTTCAACACTTATGGATCCATCTGAGAGTATTCCCATCTATGCCACATTTGATCAGTTTGCTAATCAAAATATTGGGAGTGGCTTATCAAATGCTTTGCTGAAATCCAGATAAATTGATTTCATTCCCGCCATCTACTGATCAAGTGATCTGATCGAAAAAATATATGATTACTTTTGCAGGATTTGTTCTTGATAAACCCATGCTGACTCCTACTGATCATTGCACTGTCATCAAGATATTTGCAGACAGACTCCTGTATAATCCAATCTAATAGTTTTCCTATTATTGAAATCAGACTGATCTGGAGGTTCCTAGATGTTTTTTCTTGCCTTTTTTTTTAAGAGAGGAGCAACCCTTCTCCAGTCCTCTGGCCCCTCACCTCTTCTCCAAGATTTCTCAAAAATGATGGCAAGTGGCTCATAGAGTACATCAGCAAATTCTTTCAGTACTTTGGGAGGCAGTTTGTCTGGCCTTACAGATTCAAACTTGTTTAGGTTAGCTAGGCAAATCCTAACTAACTCCCTATCAATCTTAATTTGTAACCCAGATCTCTTGCAACAGCAGATTACTGCTGCTGCATGGAAGCACACAGTCCTCTCTTTGGAGAGAAATTGAAGTAAAATAGATATTAAGTTAGTATTTTACCATCTTTACTGAATAGCAGCCCCACTGTACCTTTGGTCATCTTCTTGCCTTGAATATATCTGAAAAAAAAATCTTTTTTTGCTGCTTCTTGCTTGCCTAGTTATTCTCAACTCATTCTGGACTTTAGCTTTCTTCATACTATTCCTGCAAATTTAGGCCACACATCCGTAGTCTTCCTTGGTGATTCATCCTTCCTTCCATTCTTTATATATACTTTTTTTAAAAAAAAAACATATTAGTTTTTTCAGATGGTTCCCATTTTTCTTCTTCCATGGGATTGTATGTAACTGTGCTTTTTGCAACCCCTCCTTTAAGAACACTTATCATTTCTGGGTATCTTTTTCTTTTAGCACATCTCCACCCTGTATTGAACTTATTAAAATTAGCTTTCCTGAACTCCAAGGTCCGTGTTTGACTATACTTTTCTTTGCCTTGTTCTTCACTTGTGAATTCTAGAATCCACTGCACTCCTGCTGAAAAAGAGCCATAGAAGTGTAAGAGTCAGAAGGGACAATCAGTTATAAATGATGATAAAGGTAGGTAATTTTAGACTTGGGAGTTATTGGTATTACTTAGAATGATTGCATGATTTACAGTCTCTTCTACATTCCTGAA